TCAATCCATCATCAATTAACAGACATCAGATCATGCGTTAAATAGTTAACATTTTTTATATCTTCTTCGCACACTCGTCTCAAACTGATAAGATTTAATAACAAACAAAAAAAACCGATCGTTTAACCCACTCTTGGATATTACATCCAAACTCACATAATCATGAACATTACATCTTCAATTTACATAAATACATATTTATTGAAAGTACACCGATAATGTGAGATTATGTACACGACTAATTTCCACACAAATAACAGCGTAATTTACAAATGACATCTCTTCAGTTGCTCGATTAATTTTAACGTTAATCTCATTAAGCAAGTGTTGTGTATAAAAATATAAATAAATAGATAAATAAATAGCTGTCATGTTCATTGTTTATGTACATAAATTGTACAGTATCTGCATGTGATCCCTGCACAACAGCGTCGGGCCTGAACGATTTACCCTTCGATATCGGTTGTAGAGAAATATTAGTTTCGCAAGGATGAATGTTTTCGTCCTGCAAAAGATGCAGGCTGGGAGTTTTCTTCTTCATAGTTTGGACTGCAGATTCAAAGTGTCCTAAGCACTGGCCCCATTATTGGGATTATTTAGATGAGAAATTGCTGTCTTTAAATCAGATGGGTTATGGGTGACAATTCCCTGCTCTGTTTTGTGATATACCCCAAACGGTGACACCCCATAGCAAATCCACTACCCCCAACGGATCCACTGTTCGCTACATTCTGATCCCACATCAATCATATCCACATCCTTCTCCCTCCTACTCGGTCTCCAATTTCATGTTCATCTCGTCCCACCAGCTGGCCCATTCACATCCAGTTCATTTACCGCACACAACCACACGTACTCACATTCTCATCCTTCCTAAGACATGCCTTTGCACTCGTCCCAAGCGGCCATCCATCACATTCCGTCTTCGCTTCAGGCATCTCCTGTATAAACACATATTGCACCATTCCTTTTCTCCTCCTCCTCCTCCTTTATGAGCTAGTTTCTCACCTTCAACCTCCATGCTCCGGCTCTGTCTCACACCCCGCAATCTCAGCTGATCCCAATTTCCTGGGAGCTTCAAAGCACAAAAATCTGATGTGCATGTATGAGGAGCATTTCTTTTAGGCAAAAACACCTGATGTGTTAGCGAGTGATTGGTTCTCACCTGCTTAAACGCATAACTTCATTTGCTGCCCAAACTTTTCTTAGGAGCGCAATGCCATTCGGGCATGTGTGTGTCACCCCTCAACAATATTCTCAGGTACGGTCATGCCAAACAGGTTGCCATCAATGATAAATACATGGGAAGGGACGAGGTCAAAACCGACTCTTTTTGTCAACTTACTACAAGACTTTCCTATGCTGTGTGATAATGTGCCAATCGCACTTTCAACAGTTCACTATATATTCTTTCAATTAATTAAGCCCCTTTTCAAAGTTGGTGTATACGTGCTTTTTGGGTGTGGCACCTTGAAAATTAGATTTTCAAATCGAATTGATAATTTTTAAGCATTACATTAATTTGAGCTTTGCAATGAGACATCGCACGAAAAAAATTGGCCCACGACAAATAATCAATTAATTAATTTCAACTTTTGAATTAAGAGCGGTACCATAAATTAAAACCACTTTTTAAAACTGTAAACAGGCCTGCAAAAAAACAAACCAGGACATTGATTTGTTACAGGACATTATATTCCTTTAAATTTCGTTCGGAAAAGAAAATCGAAATTTTGAAAAAGCACTTATATACCAACTTTATTAATGTAATCATAACAACGAAGACCCAAACATTATAATAGGTGGTACACTGAACGACATTTTTGTCTTATTGTGTGCATATTAACACTTTTATGCAAAAATAATTAAGAGTACACTTATTCTTGAAACACAAAGAGACTAGAAATACATAAAGTGCCCCGATAAATCTATAACATCTCACATAACGAAGAATGTTATACTCGTAGCATTTTAGTATAGGGCCTGCTCTGGGTGTAATTGTTATTGACGTGGTTTATTAAACTAATCTCTGAAAACAAAGGAGCTAACTGATCACCGCGTGTGTAGAAGAGTACGTTAAACTGAATTTTGGCGATGTTAAAATTGAGACCCACACAAAGAGTAACTCAGCGGTAAAGAAATTCATTCTGTTACCAGACATCACAGGGGTGGATCAAGGAATTCTTGCAGAGGGGGTTTCAGGCCGGTTAGATATTTTACGTACGATTGTTGCTAACAGGCGGACTTATAGGTTATTATTGTTTTTATAAATGATATGATTTGTGTTTGTGTCAGAGCGGGGGAGGGGGGGGGGAGGTTTCGACCGCCAAATAACATCCCCCTCCTCTAGATCTGCGGCTACATCAATATCTAAGAAATGTACGTGGAAGTGTTAAAATTAAAAAAAAATTATCAATTCTCCGTCAATTCCCCTTGACTTGTGATGATGCACACGCCTTCCCCAATACGAAGGAAACGCTATACTGCGGCATATGACACTTGCCCTGATATCAATATCCTCGCACCATTTGAAAGCCTCGGATGGCATTCGATATAGCCGAGCCCTGCTGGACAAATAACTCCCTTTACTACTCCCCGGGCACGTCTATCAAATCTCGGGGAGATTCCGTGATCACATCACACTCCATGGTGTGGTGTTCCCCCTTCACAAAGCGAGTGCTTATGGATCGGGGCTCAAGAGGCAGGCATGTCACCCGAACACCGAGGGGGTTGTCACGAGCTCCAGGGTGGCAAAAAACGCCCTCTGATCCGCTCAATCTGAACGCCACAGCGGCACAGTGCCAGAAAGAGCGATAGCAGCACGCTCGACTAAAGACTAGGTGTTACGAGCTTTGCCTTTTAGGCGTAACCAACTATAGCACAAAGGAGGAAAAAAGGATTACAGCCTATAACTCCATCATTTGGGCTTCAGTGCAGCCCAGAGCGCGGCCGGAGCAGCAAGCAGACAAGGCCCGAGGCCGAGAAATACTGACATTAGCATGCATGCTTGCCTACATACTACGGATCCAGTGGTAGCGTTTGTCACGTAGGCCTACATGGGGCTGCATTGTCATAATTATAATAATCGCTAAGATCAGATGATTGTTTTTTAATTATAAGATGTAATTACCTCCCCTCCCCTAAATTGATGGCCGTCTTGAATAGGCTCGAGCTTGCTACGGACCTGCCGCGTGCATGCTGTAGAACTATGGGTAATTATATAGCCTGTCTTCAAGTAAATGCACAACCAAATGTTCACGTACAGCCGCTTGTTTCAGTTTGAATATTATTCGACAGTGTTTATGAAAAACAGATGTGGTGGTATATTGAATATTACAGGATGTGAATTATCATTAATCCCAAATGGAGATTGCATGTTCCCATAGGACCGGCTTTTCAGTCTAAAGTTTCTGTCGAGTATATCGACCGCGCATGAGTTCATGGCCGAGTCCAAAATATATATTTGTTTAAACCACATACCGTGATTTCAGTATAATATAAATAACTTTACAAATTTAGAGCTATCTGTAATTAATATTTACAATATTTACACACTGCCCTTGTGTATCTATAAACCTACGGTTTTGTATGATCAAGCTGCATTTCTTGAAACATTCAGTATTTGCACTCTGTCCTTTAACCGCACTCTGGTGATAAGCTGCTCGGTAGATGCAAGAGGATTTAGCTCTTTCACTGCTTAGGCTACTGATGTCCTATCCCTGAGGTGTGGCTACTATATATAGAAAGTTAGGGGGAAAGTCTGGGCTGACATGTCTAACGTGCGCAATAGAAAGATGCATAGCTAGCGGACAGGTCAACTAATTCTCTGTCGAATATCGGGATTATCGTAATCTATCAAAGGTGGTAACAGAAAGTATAGATCCTCAGATTAGTCCCCCATTTTGGATACGCAGACGAACAGTCCCTTTTGGCCGTTTGTATCCAGGCAGGCTTTTGAATTTGAAATACTTACAATCTTCAACATCATCGTGCACTGCATAATTAATAATCCTACCTCTTCATGGTAGTTGGATACAGGTGCTACGATGCCTTAAGCCTAATTCATTTTGATAAAGGTGACTGTCGAGATGTCGTATTTAAAGTACACAATCGCTAGGCGAGACTTTATATAGCTTAGTTCAATAGAAAGCTGCTGATAATCTTGCTCTAATCAACGTCGATGGGCTAAAGGTTGACTGTAAATTAATCAATCCCCCCAGAAATATAACACATTCTTAACAGTTAACTGCCGTAGTTACGTGGTGAAGTTTAAAGGCAATGGGCGTCATACTCATTAGCAAAAGGTAGATCACTGAGAATGTTCTGTACGCGGCGATGAGTGCATGAACCCACTTGCTATTAAGGTTGCGCAGATACAACTTAAAAGTGCTAATTCTGGTGAAATTTAATAAGCTATTAATTTAATGAAACGATACTAGAAAAAAATACAGGTTTAAGAGCCGAACGTATGCTTAGGAGTTTGTGTATTTACATATCGAGAAGCTTGTGCACAGCTTGTGCTGAGTAGCTCAAGCATTTGAAAGGCGTACCTAACATAGATTAAAGGCCATATAAGTTCTACCACGGAATAGATTAAATGAACCCCATTTTTAAGAAGTACATCTGTATCGGGCATTTTGTCTTTGAAAGATGTTGAAATTGATGCAGAGTTGTCAGATAGAACTCGTAACAGTGCCTTTCGCCGCTTGAGCTTTGTTTAAAATAGTGTTTCGGTAAAACACCCACGAAAAAAACTTAAAGTAAATATCAACTTTTACTTACACTGTAGACGTCTAGCTAGCAAACTCATGGTAACTTATACATAATATTTATTTTCATAGCCGGTGCATGTTAACATATTTCCTGTGATGCACATAGAAACAAAACATATAGTCCACGGGCCGAACGTGACATTATGACATGTAGATGCTGCCACATATTTATATACCACAATGTCGTACTGGAATGTATCATGTCTTCCCTCCTCCCCCAAAGGTCCCCGACTTGCCTGCACCTGTCATTCTCCAAGGCAGGTGGAGTGGCCCCTAGCCCTAGCAACCTCTTCAGACTTTGTTCTCTACGATTTCGTCCGCCAACTCGTCCGGACATGAGAGCTTCACTTCCAATTGGTACGTTTCGCATGTGGCACCCGGCGAACCGTTGCAACTTGTACCAGCGGAGCCTCCGGTGCGTGTCGTCACATACTCATAGCGAGTCTGACCATTAGTGGGTCTATCTGCCGTGTGTGAGTTTTCGTTGAGGTCCGTTGTACGGCCGAAGCTCTTGCTGTGGCGACTCTTCAGGCTGGCGTTCTTGAACCAGCAGTGGAACGAGGCCTTCAGATTGCTGCGAAAGTTCTTGTTGAGGAAGGCAAAGGCGACCGGGTTGATGCAGACGCTGCACATGGCGAACCAGTGGAGTGACAAGTAGAGAATGGAGCTCTTCTTGTCGGGCCAGAAGTTGCTCACTAACAAGTAGACGTTGATCGGACACCAGCACAAGGCAAACACAGCCACAACCAGCACAAGCATTCGTGTGGTGCGGTGCTTCGTCTGGTTGTTGGCAGCTCGCTGTTGGGCAATCACATCACCAATGGAGGCCTGAGCCCATAGCTTCATGCCAATATGGAGGTAGGCTCCCGAGGTCAAGGCAAGTGGAACCACACATTGATAAATGAACGTGGCCAGCGTGAAGTACTTGGTAAAGTTGTGGTCCTCGCCAGGGTAGTTGGCTAAACACAGAACATGATCTTTGTTCGACGGGCGCTCCTGGAGTTCACGGTAGATTGCAAATGGGATGGACAGTGACATTGCCAACACCCAAATCAACACGGCTATGGCTATGGCCGTTCTCATTGTGATTCGTGGCCGAAGCGGATGGATGATGACACTGTGGCGGTCCAGTGCAATGGCCGTCAGCATAAAAGTTGACACATAGACAGACGACATGCCCATATAGTCGGCCAGGTGACACATGAGGAAGCCAAAAGGCCAGTTTCCGGCAAGCTGGTTGTATGCAATGAACGGGATGTTCAGGATAGTCATAAGCATATCTGAGAGCGCCTGATTGGCCAGGAAAAAGTTTGTCACACTGCGCATGCGTTTGTTGCGCACAACAACGAGGCAAACGAGTGAATTGCCCAGTAGGGACATTATGGCAATGATTGTGTACAGTGTAATAAAAACAGCTCGGGCGGGGATGCTATGCGGATTAAGAAAGTCCATGCTTCCCTCGTCATCTTTAGCCCCGTCCTCGATAATGTTGTTCACGAAGCTACCCAGACTGATATCAGATGAGCTCTCAGAATACTGCTCCAAGTTGTCTGCCACCGTGTAGTTCGTGTAACCCTCCTCGACGTCTGCGTCTCGCTCAGGGGAGCCTACGTTCTCAAACATCTCCAAGAGTACGTGGTATGGCCGGATTCCGTGGCCAGTCGTATCTCGAGCTGTTGTTAATCCATGTAGCCGGACAGCCATGATTCAAATCAGATCCTTCAGCTACAGACCTAGATTCTGCAAAAAAATGAATAAAGTACGTCAATTTTACTATGATGGCATTGAAGTCGTTACCATTAAAAGATTGAAGGCGAAAGCATAATGTGGAGCAACACATAGAAATATATAACGACGTAACTGTGACAGCGTCCATAGATTGGCCGGGATGATAAGAATTTTAGCTTTTGATAGCTTAAAATGTGTCTATAAATATCATTCCTCGCTTTGAATGTAGAAAACAGAGACCACAAAAGAAGAACGTTTGGTATTCTTTTCTGTCATGCCAAAAGAAACACAAAATTGTGCAATACACGATTGTGCAACACACGATTGTGCAACACACGATTGTGCAACACAAGATAATGCCGTTTCGACCGGGAGAGGGCGCTGTAGGGGTATGTCCAAGCCACTGGCTCCAACACGTTCACTATAATTATTGCGGGGCAGTGTGAAAGCAGCGGCAGACATTAGCGCAATGACCTTCACAGGAACGGAGATGAAACAGCTAGCCTCGGCTCCCCCCACTTGTTTGTTCCAATCTCGGCAAGCACTCCGGTCGATATAACGGGGTTCACCTCCGTCTTCGCGCGCAAGTGGATTCTCGCAGCTGTTTTTCCACACAAGTGTTATTTGCCTACAAAATCCGAAGAACGACTGTCACATTTTCTTCACGCCCGATGCACTTATCGGCTCTTTTGCAGACGGATGGCCTCGAGGCCTGGCCCGGGAGTAAATTTCGAACGGCGGGGGAAAACGTTAATCATCAAACTTGAAACTTGTTTAAAACCAAACGATTTTGGTTGCTGAGTATCTGCTGCTGGTATGGTGTGTCAATTCGGGCTCAGTAGCATGCCCATTTGAACAACACATAATCTTGTCAAATCGCCCGTTAGCAGTTAAACATTTCGAGGATGTAGTTTTCTTTCGTAATAAAACGACATTTTTCAACAGTTATGATTATTCACGTTGCCGTGCTCGTGCTTAAGCCCGTGCTGTTAATATCGCGGTTCCTCCCTAATTAACTACTTTTGTGTGACGTCACACTATTGTTAAAAGTGTAGATTATTTCCCACGAATCTTCAGTTACTGTAGATACGTAACGAATCCATAGTTCACTGTATAACGAATCTACAGTTTACTGTAGATTCGAATCTACAGTTTACTGTAGATTCGTAACGAGTCTACAGTTAACTGTGGACTCTTCTGGACACTAGAAGATTTGAAGGTTTTTTGTGTCAAGAAAAACCCAGAACTGTCGCAATCAGACATGGCTTACTAAGTTGACTTGCTTTTTGCAGTGACATATGAACCCAACTCTATACTGACGCCTTTCATTCGTTGTACACTGACTAAATGTGTACGCATGAGTAATTTTACGAATCTACACATAATTACTCAAAACACAGAGAGTTAGGTGATGCATGGGACTCATTTGAATCCTTTGTTGTTTTGAGGGGAAAAAAATAGTTGAAGTCGGAGAATAGACTCGGAACTGTAGATTCGTGCAAGAACAGACACGGTTTCGCATTCGTTCATTCTTATAGGCCTAAATCTGCAGTTCCTCGTTCATTCTCCTTAAAAACGTAGGAAAAACTCCTGATATCGGACTGCACTCATCACCATCGTATCTGTATACAAAAAAAAATGTTGAATGATCCCCTCAATCATTACAGTGGGAATATGTATGTGCCAAGAATAAAAATTTAAATGCCCGATTAAACTTTGTTTAAAATCTGCAGGTATTTTTTTTATTTTAAAATAAATATCATGCGTTGTCCTCCAAGCTGTAAAGCAAGCCTGGCGGGCCGCCAAGCTTGGCGCGTCTGCCGCCAAGCTTTAAAATTTAGCCACCATGTTTAAAATTCTAAACTTTATCTTCAAAATTATGCAGGCTATGTAAAATTACAAGTTTACTGGAAACATTGTTTTGCATTAAAATCGAAATCAGATCGCGCTCTCAGCTCGTTATTTCGTCGCTACCTAATGCCATCCAGAAAACCAGTTGTACCTCGTTCGATTTGATCGTGATTTTATTCCCGGCGAATCAGCATGAACAGTTTAAAATTGATCCCATTTGGGAATTCTTTATCTTGAGCCGTCTCTTCGGTTCCCGTTCCGGAAACGTATGGAAACTAAAGGATTTGCCTCTTGCCAAAGCCAGGACTAGATGGGACTCTGTATACGATATTCACTTCACGTATTTTGGGTAATGGGTCACTCCCAGCGGCAATTTCCTTATTTGCCGTTTGGACCTCGTGACGCTCATTAAATCAAGCCATAGCTGCACCAGGTTATTACATCTTCTAGTCAGATACATCCTGATTTAAACAATTCCCAGTTTCGCAAATGGACTTATCGGTACGGTTTCTTGAGGTCACACATTCTGATAATTTAAAGTGCACTCATTGTGCTGACCCCGTTGGGATAGTCAGAGTGCCTTCTTATTCGTTTGCCTTAGTTCACTTTTTAAAAAAAATACATGAGTAACAAAATGAAAAGAAACTGATTACGCAGGAGCGTAAAGTTTATATTATTGGAGGAAAACATCTTCTCCCTCTGGAAAACAATATCTAATACAACGATTTTACTGATACCTTTTTGCTCTGATATCAGCCTCTGAAACTGCACAAACGCGCGACGGAATCAAGAAGTAAATACTAAACGGAGAATGTATTATGAGATGCATTCACTGTGATTTGAATATTGCATGCGAACGTAGCTTTTTTAAGGAGCATAGTTCTACTAATAAGTTTGACAGTCTCGCATCTTATACTGTTCGCATGTGCCTTTCGACAGGAATGACATTCAGCTCTATCACGCCACATCAGGCAGCGACATTTGCCGTGGCGGCAAGAGACCCGTACCGCGGGCAGACTGAGCCCATGCCGGTCTTTTATGATAGCTGGTTATGGTTTCTGGCGCTACAAATTCATTACCGGCAAGTAACGCACCGGAATGGGGAAAGGCGCTTGTCACGTACACGACTTTTGTTTAAGGTCATTTGAAAGTGCACGTGTCTCCGTCATAGGATGATGACGTAGGGTCGATGGAACAACATCCATGCCTTCGAGAGAGATCATTGTCTCGAAGAAATTGTTTTGTGGTTGAGTCCGCATCAGGCAGTCGGAAGCGGCGTCGTCATCCTGTGGAGTCGTTTCAGTCATTTCTAAAATTATCGATTGTTAGATCTCTTAGTTACTCGGCGATATGTTCAAGGGACAGCTGTGGTGCTTTCCTCTGCTCATAATTAATCACAGCCTTACGTAAACCTTGTCAATATTCTCACAACAATTTGCTAGAAAATCAAATCAAAAGTGAAGCGCAAGACGCCAACAGCGTATGACGGCCGACGGAGCCTGTATATACTTAAATGAGTTTTTTTTGATCGCACTCGGTACATTGAGACCTGCTTAGCTTACTTAATGCGCGTGGACTTGGTATCAAGGTTAAGTAGATTTAAATGAATTATACCCGTCGTTAGGGAGGACATGTGACGTCTTAAATCGATCGTTGAATTTCCGCTTGCGAGAAGATAGACTCTCAACGCTATAGGGACGGCCATTTTGCGAGAGCGTGTCGCTCAAATGATGTCGCCTGGGGCGGGTAGCATTTCGCCCGCCCGATGCTCCCGAGGGAGTGCCGGGATCACGCTCGTGCTGATGCCTCATGTAAGGTAATGGCAGTTTTTTTCCGATGCAGCAGGCACGTCAACGGAGATTCGTAACTGCCCGCTCTTTCTGTGTGCGTTCAGGTTAGCGGAAGTAATACGCTGTATCTTACAAGCATGCGAGGAAAGTTAGAGGAGCGTTTTCGTATATACATGGTTCTTTGAAAAGTCTGGCTAAACATCGAATGTACACTAGCCTAGAAACTACTATTCCTTACACGACAGTACGTGCCAAAAAACAGACCAAAGAGGATAACAGTCTAAGATGGATAGTTTCTACTTCTGCACATATATAAGTATACCTGTCTTGGATCATATTACACAAGGACTCCGAACTTAATGCATAGGATAAACTCGCTCATTCGGATCAAATTAGAACAAAAATGCCAACATGACAAAGTAAATAACGAAAACACAAACCACAACCGAACAAAAAAGTAGAAGTTAGTTTTCAAACTCAAGTTAACGAGGGATAAATCAGTGTTTCGTTGAGGTGAGGATATTACATTTCAGACCGCAGGATCATTAGATGCAGTAATTGAAATAGGGCTGAAAAGCCTCCAGAGTGTCCGTGGCGATAGCGATCCTTCATCCTCATCCAGCAATACAATGCGAGGCCAGAAAAAAAAGAGAAATCCGTTTAACATGAACCTCATTTCCCTAATTTCGGTAAGACATTAGTAAATGCTTCAGTAGAAGGAAAACACATCAGTTGCAATCTAAGAGGCCCGTTTAATTTGCAGTAGTCGGCCAAAATGTGCGCGTGAATATATTGCACTTGACAAGAAGCGATTTATACATCTTTGAAACCTGTACTCTTCCACCTAACAAAACAATATTGACTTTTACAGCTATCGGTTACAATCATGTCACGTTCATGCGACACCTATTGCCATTCAGCTCAGGAAATAATACTGTGCAAGTAAGGATGTTATTAGCTCGGCTTTGGCGTGTTCCCTGCCGCCCGATGTGCGCGTAATTGAATTACCCTACATAGCATCAACTCGAACACGATGTATCTTTATATACTTAAATTTTCCACCGAGGTTTAACGGAGAAGGCAACGGTAAATAGAAGGGGGGGGGGGGTAAACTTAGCTGCAATATAATAGCCCTGTTAATACATAAAGGCACTTGCGTACTTAAAACAAGTTCGCTATACAAAATGTTTCTTTCCGAGGTCCGCTGAAATAATAAGTTGCCACTGTGAGGTTGATTGAACTTGACGATAACCTCCCGCAATGACCGGTCCACGGGAAATATTGATGTACGGATAAAGTTACCCTCCTGCTTGTGGGAGATAATATTGAATGATTGCATATCGAATGAAGCATGGAACGGCGCTTGCAAGTAGCAATCATCCGACACAGCCTCTCACTTTAGTGTCCCGAGCCCGCTTCCTCGAGTTGATTTTCTGATTACAAAACTGATGCACATTACAATCGGAGCGTGCCGCTGGGCTGTTAACACAACATGTTATTGCAGCACACATTCAAAATGTGTTTTTGTACTTTAAAAAACACCAAAGGATCCCCAAATATACCATAAATGTGTTTGTAGGTCTACAGGGTGTCGCTAATATCTTTATATATTTAGAGAGTAAAGTCCATTAGCTTTTTAACAACGAAACAAATCTTTCCAATGGGGTAAATATTTGTTGAGTTATGGCCAATTGAAAACAAGCACCGCCTTTTCATTTTGGCCACGGCGACTGCTATTTTTTCACTGCCGCAATAAGAACACGAACCAAAATTTGCATTTGTGAAAAAAAGGCTACGAAGTGGAGGGAAGAGACAGAGCAGCAGAGTAAACATCTAAGAAGTTGAACAAACAGTCCTTTTCAGGACTACCATTACGTCCAAAAGGATAGATAACCATTGTTGCAAAAAATTAAGGAATAATATAAATAAAGAAACATTGAAACATTAAAGAAAGCAAAACTACCCTCACCACCAAATCCATTACATTCCTAACAAATGACATTTGAGGGGTCCGCTCATAAGTCCGACGCCTCATAAGTCCGAAATTTCGGACTTATGAGGCGTCGGACTTATAATGCGTCGGACTTATGAGGCATACAATTTAATTATTCCGCCTCATAGGTCCGACGCTGCATAAGTCCGACGCCTCATAGCTCCGATGCCTCATAAGTCCGAAATAGCATTTGTCCATTGTCGGACTTCTGAGGCGTCAGACTAATGAGGCGAAGGACCTATGAGGCGGAATTTATGCCTCATAAGTCCGACGCCTCATATGTCCGAAATTTCGGTCTTATGAGGCGTCGGGTCTATGAGGCGTCGGACTTATGATACGGCCCCACATTTGAGACCGTACTGGACAGATAGAACAATCAGCACTTATTT